GAATATAGAGGGAGAAAAAATTGAGGAGTGATTATTAAGTTATATAATAATTAATGGATATTTTTAGTTGTGGGGGTTGGGATGAATTAGGGTAACATTGAATGGCTAGCCTTTTGCAAAGTGAAAAACACGTGCTTATAGACAAGGAAGAAAGGAAAAGGAGGCACCACGTATGTATGCAGCTGGTTAGTTCATCATCATGATGGCAAACTCTTATCGACAAATTTGAATTTGGTTGCATTATATTTATATCATTTTTGTCCTTTTGGGATACATGGGTGCTGGATCGGGTCGGTCCGGAAACTTCACGGGCCGGACAAGTTGACAAACCGTTCGGATAGACATGGCTACGGTTCGAACCGGCCTGGTCAAGCCCTTTAATCGCAGGCCTTGTACCGGCTCGGGATTTTACCCCGGCTGGTTCAGGTTCATGTTTTTTTTTATAAACTGAAATGCTCGTTCTGACTTCGAACAAGAACGGATTTAGTTGTTCGGCGAATTTTAAAAATTGTATTTTTGTTTAATTATTTAATCCCATAATCCCTAAATATTTAGACCCACAGACAAATTCAAGTGATAAACATTACTTTTTCATATATTTTTAAAATTAATCTCAAACTAGTACAACACCCATGTATTACACGGGTGCTTGTTAAAAAATTATATTTAAATTTTAAAATTAATAAGAAAACTATATTAAATTTAATTTACTTTTTTACCAAAAAAATATATTATTATATATTTTAAAATGATATGTGTTACTTATGACTTATATGTGTTACATTATATTAGTTTTTACAACTTATATCATATAACTACTTGAAATATAAATAAATTAGTTGATAATGATTTTATTTTTCTAATTAATATCAAAATAATTTTATTATTGTTATAAAGATAAATATAAACTATTTTTTTTATACATACAATATGGATGTTAAATCGAAGCTCATCAAAAGAAGATTAATTTAATATATTACATATGTAAAACTGATAAAAAATACAAAAGTTATTAACTTTTCAAATATATATACAATTCAATAGTTATAATAAGGAATGATATTAAAATGCAATTAATACATTTAACATGACCATAAATAATCAACATAATTATGGTATTCCGAACCTAATTATTTTTTGGTTTGGAATTAAATTAGAATTTACCCAAACCTAATAACGAAGCATGTAATTTTGCCACATAGGATTACGAAGCATCAGAAGCAGCTACGTAGGCTCAGCGCGTTCTGGATTAATATATAGGGGCGAGGGCGATATATTACCTTAGGATTTTCTAAAAAAAATTAAAAATTCAAGATCGAAATTCTTAAAATATTAAACGATCTTCAAAAATTTCGAATGAATACACACAACTCTTGATCCGTCGCGTCAAGCCCAAACCCGTGGTTCGACCCTGTGCCCATGGGCCATGTGCACCTTTTGGTGATGGGGACTGCCTGGTTTCTCTTCGCCAATAGGCACAGCTAAAAATGTGAGACACGCTCAGTATATATATTATAATAAAAAAAAAAAAAAAAGAATAAAAACAAGTTGTCTAAATGCATTCTTCTAACTTATATGAAATGATGTTACGTGAAGGAGCATCTTGTGGAGTTCCGTGTGTTCACAAAACTTAGTACTACAATTCACATAATTAATGATTGATGTATACATCCATATATGTGTTCATCACAAACGACATTTTAGTACTTGCTTTGATTTTTTTTATTACAAAACAAATTGACCGTATTTATTGAGCATGTTATGTGAAAACTCAGAGCTAAAATATCGAAGATCAAAAATGTTTCATTTCATATGTGCAGAGAATACAAAGTTCGGCCTTTTATTTACATGCATAGTAGCAAAACG